TAGACTTGGTTCAAGGGAATAGCCGGACGGGGTGAGCTGCATCAGTAGTCGGTCGTTTGAGGCCTTGCCGTCATTGATGCCAGCATTCAGACTCAAGGAATTACCCCATTCCGACCCGATATTCTTCCAATCCAGGCTCCAGTTACCGTCCACTGCGTCTGGGAAGAACCGATCGAACTGCCATGGGTTACCTGGCTTTTCACAATCGGTGCTAAACCTTGCTCCACTGGCCGATGCAGTGTATCGCACCGAGCAACGTGGTGTCTTTTTCGCCTTCATTGAGCATAGGGCATAGTCAACTCCGGTGGCGTTTGGAGGCTTTCCCAGTAAATACATCGCGTTGCCAAACGGTGCCGAATGGTTGAGGATTGTCTGATACTCAGCGGGGAGCCTGCCGAAGATTGGAGGACGCCATCCATACTTTGGTCCCCATCCAAAAATATCGTCCACGACAGTTCGATTCAGCCAGGAGTGTGGCCAACTAGGTAGCTCCTTCTCTTGCTCTCCCCATTTCTCCACATCGAATTTCTTTCCAGGCCACATGTCATATATCAATGGTTTCAGCTCACTGGCGTTCATGCCCACGCAAAGCACATTCACTGCAGGACATGGAGCAGCAGCAATCATGTCAAATTGGCCCTCCGATGAATTCTGGGGCTGTTTAATTCCATTGACGGGGTCCTTTGCAGCGGCCAGAACCCCGGCATGAGGCATGGCTGCCGTCACATTCAGGACCATCCGGTTATAGTGCAGTGACAACTCCGTCATATTGCTGCGATCGATCCAACTTCCAGTCACAGTTGTATTATCGTGGACCGATCCTGAGGGAGGAGGTCGCTTTTCTAGCACAGGCGATGCGTGTCTGCCGTTGGTCACCATCTTGCTCCAGCGATTCAGGTAAGCCACGTAGTTGTGGTATGCCTGTCCGACGTGTTGCATTTGGAGGCATGTTGTACCACGGTACAGGGGGTCCGCCTCGTAGGGGATCGGTGATACGCAGTTCACCCCCATGTAAATTGGGTTGAAGAAGTCGGTGGAAGCATTCGCCCTTAGGGTTCGGTCTTCATGCGGTCCTTCGAGCAATTTGGGTGATACTGAATGACCGGGGTTAGAATCACAGATGCCACGATTGTCAACGTCAATCCTTCTGAGTCTGTTTTACTTACCCAATGCCTCAGCCGCAGTTGTATATAGCATGGCGATTATGGTCGCCGTGAGAGTCATCGCACCGAGAAAGGTCAATGCCGAATAGCGCAACGTCTCCCAATGAACTATCATGGACCCGGGCTGCATGATCCATGTCCGCATGCTCATGTCTGAAATGGTGATGCCGTTAGAGTCCTTTTGGAGGGCTCGTCGACTCAGGAACTGCCCCAGACAGGCGACAAACACGGTAACGTATGCCAATTCAATTGTCTTGGCGAACAGTGCACTGAGTAAGTTGGCAGTCGAGGCCGCGAGCTTGCCGTCCACACCGATATAGCTTCCATATCGCGGCTTCAGACAGGCCACAAAGAAATATAGCCCCGACCACACGGTCGCATATACCGCCAGCACCATAATTGTCATAGGCACCCAGCGAAACCATCGCTGAGCAATTGTATCTCTATGAGGACATCGCACCTCGCTATCCAGAAGGGGTGTTTTCGAGGTGTGCGACCGCGGCGTTGCTTGCTCCGATAGGTGCGGGGAACGCGAATCTCCCCGGGGACGCGCTTCGTCCAAGTCCTCAACGAAGTGGATGGACGCTGGTCTGCGTCTCGCATTTCGGATTCCTAAGCCCACCGTTGGAGAGGCCTCATGGTGGGATGTTATGTCCTGCTCCTGGTGCGAGGAGGGTGCGCGCTCATAGCGAATGTGGGAATGGTCGGAGTCGGTCGGAGGGGCCGGATCGAATGGGCTCCATGACCTCTGTGGCCGGTGGGACTCGGGGTATGATAATCTCGACAATGGTGGCAGTAGGTATTCTTCTTGATCTGGAGGCATGGTGCCCAGTCAGTCATCGGCATACGGGTGGTCAATGAAGACCTTCATCGAGGGCGAGAGGAAACCCACGCGAAACAGCCCCTCTAATCAAATATGTATTCACTTCATGAGCAGGGATAACGCGGCAATCTCCACGATTCTCAAGTTAGAAGTGGCACAGCTTGGAAAGGAAATGGTCCAGCCTCAAATCCTTTGGCCAGGTCGTCTGTCAAGTCAACCGACAAGGGGTCTCGTGTGGATCTCTGCCCAAACGGTTTTAGGGTCCCGACATCGTGAGAATTTCCACCAATAGTCCCCATGGGCGAGTCAGTCAGCTGTTGGTTGCCAAGAGGGCCGTTCAGTAAAAATAGATTAGCGGTGTTTAGTTCGTAAACACGAAATTCACAGGAGGCTGAGTTATCCGTCTGGGATAACTAATGGGATCAACCTTTGGCAGGTCGCCTTAGGGTTGTGGGGGGTCAGATGGCATTTCGGTCGCACCCATGCGTTGGACCACGCCGAGAAAGAGACCACATCAGAATGTCAATTCAAACTCAAGGATTCGTAATCATGCCAAGTTACAAAGTACAGACCGATGTGTCTAACATGCAGGAATCGACCCCATCCGTTGAACTTCTACCTCTCACCAGTAAGCAGCCATTTCGTAAGGCATCGGGGGGTCCCACTGCAGCGGCTCAAATTGGCCTAGAACCCTATACGCCTATAGTAAACCAACTATAAACAGATGCTAGAATATCTTGTTACCTATACCAGAGTATCATCTATCAGCAACAGTAGCAATGGACTATATTTTGTCTAAAGCGAAAACAAAAAACGAGTCGTTTTCCCATGGTCTAGATACACCTTTCGATGTTTTGACCCTACGATCTACAGTACAGACACGAAGGAGATAGAACGCTATTATTGCCCCGCCACATTAGCTCCACGCTTTTCCATGTTTTATGAGATGTGCAGTGAGAGCTAAGGAAGGCTACCCTGGCCGTGAACAAGGCTACCAAGCTTCCCAAAAAATATTAGTATCACAAAAGTCTTAGTGGCACGGGAACCCCGGCTCTAACCTCAGCTGGCTTTGTCTCCGGATAAATTGTGGGACACACCTGGCTTGAGCCCTAGTATAGGTAAATAAAAGGTCTGGGTCAGTGTCTCTGCAGTATACCGAACACAACGTGCGACGGTCACATTAAATTTTGTTTGCTGTACGACTCAGGCAGCTATTCCAAAGTTACTGGGCGGACCCTTGGGCATGTGAAGGATCGATAACTTGGCAGACCGGCTGCATCTCTGCACAGGATTCCGGATCTCCAACTCTACTCCAATGAAATAGTGCCTCGTGGGTTTTCATGGTGGAGCGGTCCGAGCGTCTATTGGACGGAATTCATGGATACCATTAGGATGGTGTTCTGAATTGCAGGAAGGATTTGGCCCTGGAAGGTAGTGCAGGTTCCTGCCAACGCATTAACTGGCATACGAAGACCTTGAGCGACCCATAACGAATCACTTATATTACCAGGTGGCCTTTGGAAGTCCAGGGACTAGTATAAAGATATTGCATGTAAAAGAATGATCTGATTGACAATTTGGGCCAGTGTTATGCATATTCCCCGTCAATAGTTTCCGTAGGGCTGAGTAATCTCTTGCACAGAGTAGCAAGCTCCATTAGCAGCCATTCAAACAGATCCTAATGAAGGTTTAAGAAATTGTGCCATATCCATTCGGTCATTGGATTAACGCCCATGTAATGCAAGTGGCCGTCCATTGGGGAGTGTGTGGCGGAATCCCAAAGCCGTGAACCGGTTGTAATACAGGCTGGGGCCCTTCTTAGCAAATTCCTCCATGCAGTCATCTTTGACAAGTATTTGTAACGGACCCCATGTTGTGACGCGTTATTATGTCCTCTGCACTGGCTCAGCCTGAACTGGACGCAAAACCAGCTGCCAAGATCTATGCTTACACTTGTATTCTATAGCTATACAAAGACCAGATTGTTGCATACCTACTCACTTACCTCTCGCAAGCTCTCCTGGTTCAACGGTACTGGTACTAGGACCGGTTTCGCCTAAAAGTTCATCCAAGACATTATTTACACGGGCTTAGCTTTGCAATGACGCGATAGCACTCCAGTACATTTGTGGTGTACCAATCATCGATATTTCCAAGTGCTGACCTGCCGAGACATTCGGCTGTTTACTCAAACCCAAACCTAACCAAAACCGATTAAAGAGCTAAAGACACCTCAGCTAGCTCAAGTATAGGCAGTACGTTACATCTTCCATCTTCGGTGCTATGTATAGATTACGTAGACGCTAGAAGTCATGTCACGTACAATGCGGTGTATACTCATGATGGAGATTGCCTTTACCTTCGGAGACAGAAGCATTGATGTTGAACATTGACTCTACTGCTAGTATGACCTCTATCATGCATCCAGAACATAGTGTCTCTCCCTCGGACAGGCAAGATGCAATGACATGTTGAGGAATACTAATCCGTGGATTCTTCTGCCGTGTCATCATCGGAATAGACAATAAGAAGGCTATTTCTATTGAAAACATCATGCAGAAGATCGTGCGTGAACGAATGCAGGCTGCATTGAATTACATATCGGTGCAGCATTGAGCTTACTACGCAACGTATTGTGGTAGAGTACTTACAAACGGATCATGCTGATGGCCGTTGCTGAGTTCGTACATCGTTTCCTTTCCTAAAATTTGCCAGCCGTATACAAAATATAATAGACCCTGAGACGGGTGGTGATCCTCCTGCCACAGTGGTTCTGACAGTTCCACTCACGACTTTTAGACACCTTACCACAGTACAAGGAGTGCCATACCTGAAATCCGAGTACCTCATCATGAAGTTTAAATCGCAGGACGTCAATACACTCCAGCTTCATCCTCGACCCACTCCCCGAACTTACCCTTGAACGACAGACATAAAGTGAGCTCTTGCTGCCCGTCTCCAACTCGACTGGATTCTGCAATTGACTCGTCTTAACCATTGATTATACCTTAAGGATGGATTTCACCCCAATTATTTGGGGAGCTCCCAGCCTGCCCATGAACAAGACTATGGTTGCTGCTCACCCGGCCCTCACATGGTACGCCACATACGTGATAGACTTAACCACAGCCTTCACGACCACCTCACCGTCGAAGTACTACTGCTCATATGCCACTCTAATAAATGCCGACCAGTCTACGATCAAAGGCCCAGATACTATCTGCAATCACTACATGCATGTGTACGGGCAATTTGAGAAATGTGTACATGACCATATTCGTACCTTTGCATTGAGCAATGATGAATTCGGCACGCATATGTTGGTGGTCGAGATGATCAATAACTTGCACCTGAAAGACGGTAAAGGGGTCGTGCCGCTTCCTCAAGCCTTTACGTATGAGCTTTCGCCAGCGCAAGAGGGTGCCGGGACATATGGCTTGCAGATCTGTAAGGAACGATGCTATTTTGATATGGGATTACTACAACGGGCGGCGAACGCTTGACCGGTATAAGGCGGGTATTTCTTATGGTGTTGGCTCCTTAGAATGATACAGATATCGTGTTCAATCATGTCTGCTAGGGTCTTGGTTTATTCCAGTATGCCAACTTTGGATTTATGTATTGCGAACGTTGAATCAGGATGCAACGTAGTATTCGAAAAAGGTTCTCAAAGGAGAATACAGAGGTCGTCCTGCAGATTCTCTCCATAGATAGGATGGTACCACCTTGGGCAGGAAGTTATCGTCGTCTCTTAGGGTATACACCTAAAATACTATTACTTCAGTGAAAAGCCCATGTTCTCGACGGGGCGTACTCAACAATCGCGACAAGCTAGGTAGTAAGGAAGCCAGTTACTATGAAACCCAGGAATGCAAATCTAGCGCCTATTCCAGAATCTAAGCTGTCGGAGTATATCAGGATTATATATGCGCTTATCACTAGTTCTCAATGACCCTCCAACATCCAATCAAGATATACAGGTGTTTGATGTCCTGTATAGAATGCTCATTACTGAGCACAAATGAGGAGGTTTGAAAATGGCCAGAATAGCCCATCAACGAGATATATACAGAATGAATACATGAACCAAACAGTATTGTAGTGATACTCTCAGTACGATCAATGTCAGTCGGCGTTCAAAACTGTCCTGTTCTCGCCGCCTTAACAGCATACTTGCCGCTTTAACCAACACGATGGGTTCTCTTTAACCTTCATTTGGAAAAAGGAATGGCAAGATTATACTTGGAATAATTTAGTACATTTAAGTCTTTAATGTGGTAAAATTTCCGAAATACTCCTAAGCCTTTTGACTTTTTCCGAAAGAAAACGTACAGTATTATATATAATTTTGTTCAAAGCTGAACGACTAACCAGGTCCAGTTTTGGTCTAGAACCGGTGCTTGACTAAATGAGGCATAGCTTGCGGTCAACCTTCAGCATCAAGATAACTCGCTCCTCCTTCTTCTTCTTCTTCTTCTTCTTCTTCCCCTTTCTTTTTGTGTCGGCATCCCCTTCCTCTCAGTGATCGTCCTATCCTGCGGTATCCATGAGCGCTCTGGCGTTCTTCCCCCACTGTGCTTGATCGATGCGAATATGTCCCCCGTACTGAACAGTCCAATCAAGCCGCTGAGATCAAGGCTGGGATGTAAAACTTGCAAGTAGGTGCCTGCTTTCTTTTTATAGGCAGGTTATAAGTATTAAGCGCTTTCTAGAATTCGAAAGGTCAAGTGTGGAGAGGAAAAGCCAAGATGTGTCCGATGCAGCAGCACAGGCCGTAAGTGCGAGTACGAAGGCACAATTTCCGGCACGTTCTCCTCTACGCCTTCCACAATCTCGATACAGGACTACCCACTTTCATTATTACCAAATACGGTGTGGCGAGAGCGTCGCGCATTTGCCTACTACTTCCAGCAGGCAGCTCTGTCTATCGGCGGTGGACTGGATGTTGATTTCTGGCGCACTTTCGTCCCGCAAGTCTGTCGAAGTGAACCGGGCGTATGGGATGCCATCATCGCAATCGGTGACCTGTTTGAGAGTCCCAGGAAGGATTCTCGGTTTCCTGATCAAAAGCACCGAGACGCGTTGAGCTGGTATTCACGGTCGGTGTCTGCTATCCGTCAGCGGATTGAGCGTGGTAGCATAGATACTTTTGTCGGACTAATAACCTGTATTCTCTTTATCAGCATTGAAGCCATTCAGGGAAATGAGCAGGAGGCCTTGCAGCTGTATGGTCAGGGTGTGCATCTCATTCGCACGTTGCGCGCTCAAATAGCTTGTGGGATTGTGTCAACAACCAAGGCTTCTTTCTTAGAGGATGCAATTGTCCCAATATTTGTGCGTCTAGGAGCAATTGCTCTCACCATTGCTCATCTTCCAGTGAGCGGTCTACTGCTAGACAATGATTCAGTGTTGGTGCAAGAATTTGTCTCTCTCAAGCCCGCTCGGGAGGCCATTGCTCGCTTAAGTACTGAGATCCAGCTTCTTGAACGCACTTGCATAGAGCATCAACACGAGTCTCGTTCCTCCCATATCCACCCAGAATTGATGCATCGGCAAATAATCCTGTCCGCTAAGCTAAACGACTGGCATACTGCCTTTACCATCCTCATAGAAGGCCTGCAGACGAAGGGCGTTTTATCACCGCAACAGGTTGGCACTGGTGCCCTTCTTTTAGCTTACTATGAAATGTCATTCGTGATACTCGCAACCTGCGTATCGCCATCACACATGATATACGACGCGTATATACCAAACTTCCAGAATATAGTTGAACAGTCTAGCATCGCAATCAATGCTTTAGCACAATCGGACGGCTCACAACCGCCGTTCACATTTGAAATTAACGCCGGTTTTCCGCTTTGGTTCACCTGCCTCAGATGCCGCGAACCCAAGATCCGACGTATGGCACTAGCTTTGTTTCGTCGAGGACCTCAGGTGCAGGGCTTCTACAACTCCGCCGGAGCAGCAGCCCTTGGTGAAAGTGTCATGATGCTAGAAGAAGCGTTCGCAATCAGAGCAATTCAGGGCAAACCCGAGTCTCTCACACTGGACTCAACCGGTCCAGCGACGGAACATCATGCCTATAGCCCAGGTCATAATAGCGACGTTTCCAACGACGTTTCCAGCTGTCACCCTGTTCTCCAAGACTCTGGACCTGCGGCACACTCATATCTGGCACCGGCAGGCCGGGCAGCCACAACTCCGACCACACTATTCGTCCCGGAAGAGGCACGCCTTGGGTCCATTGGTATTTTTCGGTCACAAGACGGATTTCCTGCGGGGACGAAGGACGAAGACGTCGCGAAGTGGAACGAAAGGCGCGATCAGATCTTTTTGCGATTCTCACGGAACAAGCATGACCAAGCCAGCAATACTTGGCATATTGTTCATGAATTTGTGCCTATTGGTACTTAATTATAGCATGAAGTATCTTGAACTGTATCGCATAGTTTGTGGACAACCGATGGTGCGCAGCATGACGCTGCATTGAACCAATTACTCACCACTTAGCCTTTGTGGTCAGTGAACAGCTTCGCTCAGCTGGACTGAGACATACAAACCTGCATATCTCATTTCTAAAGCTGTGAGTGCCATACCAATGTGTGCTGACTTTGATTCTGGGCTACCCTGCATATCTTATCGGTATTGAAATGCACATTAACGGTCTTTGTGGGCTTATGAACAAGAAGTTCCAGGGAAGTATCACCTTCCTGGAGCTATTGTTAGTTTAAGACACAGCCAGCGAATGCATTGCACATAAAGTCTGCAGGTATCCTGGATACCTTGGCCACTAAGACGGGATCCAATACACTCTACGGAGCACAATAACTAGATCAACAATTTGATCACTGCACTTATACAAAGGCAATAACTTCACATTTCATCCGGCTCATTATCAATCTGTGTAAATGCAAGACCATATCCTTGAACAAAAGCACCCCTATTTGCGACCGTGTTACACCCACTGCTGGCCTTAGCCAACTGGTATCATGGATGCATAATTCCGCCTCTATGTATGTAGCCAAAGTGTTAGCTTGGCATCCTTCCATAAGCTGAAGTGCAGGTGCAATCAAAAAGGAAGAGGGATCAGGAGCAGCTAGGTAGAACGATGCATATGTAAGAGTATTCTAAAACCAGCGGTTCTAGGTAGCAGTCATAGATGATGGTGCACAGTCCTCTTCGCACAGGGGCTTCACCAGTCAGAGTATACATGTGCATTGCCTAGCTGAAGCTCATCGCCCTTCATCTATGTCATTAACACCAAGATAGCCAGCGGAATCCCTGTTCACCTTCCGTGGCCCTATCACCATGGTCGCACCCACCGAATTGGAGGATGGCTGACGGAAAACTCCGACACGGTCGTCAGCTTCGTTCGAAAGGTCTCGCTCGAAGAGGCCAAAGCTTAACTTCCCCTCCATCCCATCATTCAAGAGTTTCAGGCAACCGTTTACAGTTGGCCAGGTCTTCGTATGTTCTGGTCGGCCATGCTCACCTAAGTGCCCGACAAGCCTCCATATATCAACGACCCAACGGGGCACCCAACAGATTCCGGACTTCGACCACCTGCTCCATCTATTTAACTATGCGATACAAAAGGTAGCACTGCACTGGAGTATCGATGAGTACCACGTGGGTCTTATTGGATTCCCTTTCAACGCAGTGCTTGACTGGCCCTTGGCTACGCCGAGCGGATACCCGTTCTTCCTGAACAAGACAGTGAACGTCCATATCAAGAATATTCTAGAGTACTGGAGAGATAATTTCTTGACCACGTCAGGTTCCGCGAGCATACTAACTGAAGCGTCAAACGGCTGCATGTCCGAAGAAGCCCGCAAGGTACTCGAGGATGACACCAACCTCGATCCAAACCACTGGTAGAGATTCGGGGAATTATTCGGCCACAGCAAGGAGGACGACGAGCACTGGGGCTTCAAATCCTGGGACGACTGCTTCACCCGCAAGTTCGCAGATTACGATAAGCTTCGGCCTGTCTATGCACCAGATGATGACTCCTGGGTAGTGAGTGCCTGTGGATCCCGAAGGCGTTCGCACTCCTAACCAACGTGAAGGCATACGATACCTTCTGGCTGAAAGGTCAACCCTACTCTGTATACGAGATGCTAGACAATGAAGAGGAGGCAGAGCAATTCGTTAACGGGACCATCTATCAAGCCTTCTTGAGCGCCACATCATACCATCGCTAGCATTCTCCCGTTAACGGCAAAATAAAAAAAAAAAAAGTGAAGCTGATTTACGGGACCATGGTCTCCGAACCGACGATTACTGGATTCATGAACCCCGACGGCCCCGATCCAGCTGTTCCAGACAGGGCGCAGGGCTATATTACCCATGCTGCGACGCGAGCCCTCATTTTCATTGAAGCACCTAAGCCTGTCAGTCTGGTCTGCGTCGTCGAGCTTGGTATGACGGATGCGTCAGCTTACTGCATCGGATACGCGGAAGAAGGAAGTGTGACATGATTATGGGGGAATGCTCGTCATGATAGTTCACACCGCCAGGATGATTACTCCCAAGGATTCCCAGAGCATCATCATGGTGGTGGATATAGTCTTCGTTATGGCCGAGCATACGGGGGCCATTATGGGCGAGAGGGACATGATAGTTATCATAGGAGCGGTTACCCTAGGTATAGCAAGATTGGAATAGATTTTCAAGGATAATGCCTAATGGCATCTAAGTTGGGCAACGATTGCATCATGAGGACATAGAAAGTTGTGAAATTGTTAGCTTTGTATATATTTATTGATTCTCGTCATTGAGCAGAATAGTTTCTTGCTAATTTAGAATTTTTTTTTTCCTTTTTTTTTTTTTTTTCCTGTACTAGCTTTGAAAGCCCCCGCTGTATTCGACGGTAGCAAACAGTAAAGAGCAATTCTTGCGCAAAAGTCAGCATCCACTCTACATCGACATCGTTCAAGCAATAATATGCAGCAAGTTCACCTACCAGACCTCTTTTGAGAGATCTATCATGGGCTGCCTTGGACCCAAACAGCCAGCGTAGCAATGGTCGTGTAAATCATAAACACAAACCCAAGCGCCATCATAGTAATATCACCTCGTTTCTCCCACGGAGTTTCAGCCACGCCTTTCCAATGCAAATACGCTGGATAGATATAGACCAGTGGAACACACGCAAATGACCCGATAATGGAAACAAACTTGTCCAAGTCACCGGCACCAACGGAGGAGATGAAGCCACAGCATAAAACGAGGAACATTCGGAAAATATTCTTCTTCCATTTGATCGACGTGTCTCCTTTCCCGGACTTGTGCCCGAAGAGTTTGCCCTCCATGATACGGGTAGCTGGAAACAACTGGATTGGAGCCCCGACGAGGATTGCGAGGGAGTAAAGGAATTGAATCGTGTTGACGAGTCGGTCGGTTTGGGGGAAATTGCTGAAGATCTCTGTCTGAGTCCGGTTACCGAAAGTAGCGTAGGACAAAGCGCCCACCGCCGTGAAAAGTGTGGTGATGATCGCCATGACGATGTACAGAAGACGGTCAAAATGCTGTGGCTTCCTCATTGAAGACTGAATCGGTAATACGAGACCGATACCTTCAAAGGTAAAAATCGACGAACCGATGGTCAGCGTGAATGACTGCGGATTGAATAGCTTGACAGTTGGGTCTGCTCCGGGTCGCGTTGCGAGAGTCGCAACGTCATACCAGTAGATGTATCCTAGTCCCAGGAGAATGAACACATCGGAGAGCAGCGCTGCCGGGCCCAGCTTAGAGATGTTTCGAATCCACGCCAGAGGAATGAGCACGAGCAATTGGAGTAAAATCAAGCTCCCTGTCGAAATATCGGTCGCCATAGCCTTTAAGAAGGCCTGAATATTCTCCGCGGTGAAGATGAAACACGTGCACACGAAGCCCATCTGAGAGATGGTGATGGATGAAAGGATAAGGGACCGGAGACGAGGTCCTGCAATCCGCTCTCCGATTTCGCCATAACCCCCGCCATATTGCCGACGACATTGGAGGAGGAGGTGAAAGCATAGAGTGGTGATCAACGCAACCAGCACTAGCGTGATCGAGGAAAATAAAATTCCTCCGTTGCGGAACGCTTTGGGCAGGAAAATGATCCCTGTGCCAACGAAGGCTTTTAGCAGCGTAAAGAATGTCTTCGTATTGGACGCGTCGCCCGGACGGCCGACTCGTGAACGCCGGCGCGCCCTCTGTATCAGAGGTGTTTGCTCCCCTGGCAATGTCCTACTCTCCCGGTCTTCGCTAACCATGGAATCCTCCTCAGTCTCTGCTAGATCCTCGCCAGCAAAATTACCATATAGATCGAGGAAACCGAGAAAGGATGTCGTCACCCCTGGATAGTCGAAATTTCCGTTCTTGTGGTGTTGCACGAAATGGCGACGGAAGCTGCCGGGCTCCATAGCCGCGACGCCCTCTTCTATTGCATCTTCGGGCTCCCTTGGGGGAAAAGAAAAGCTTGCGGCTCGTTTATCTATCTTCGCCTGCTTGGACTTGGCTTCGATCCGGTAAAGGTCACGGTGTACGTCGCCGCCCTGAAGTAGGAGGGAGGATTGCGGCTCCGGGGTGTCCTCCGCATCTCCGTTAGCCGTTTCTGAGGGAGTAAAGTTCTCATCCTGCAGCGAGGCTGTGAACTGCGGGTTGAGGTGCTGGGCCAGGATAGCCTCGCGCGCCTCGGGGTCCTGGTCTCGAGGCGTGGAGCTAAGGTACTGGTCGGACATGATGAAGCTGAGCGGTTACACACGGTTTGTAGAATGAGCGACGGATCGAGGAATTCCCAGGAACCGACGCAGGGAAGGTCAGTCACATTCTGCGGAATGCGAACAGAGGAAGAAAACCGTTCTTTTCGGTACGGCGAAGAAGAATATAGAAAAAAAGGACGTCAGAGGACGACGTCACTCTGCAGTCTCTACGGAATCACTACGGTCACATGATGGCGCTATACGAAACAAACAATAAAAACTCCTTCTAGACTCCATCCCTCTAGACCCCTTTGAGACTAGCGCACCACACCGCTGAGTCCGTGTCTGTCATTGGTTGAAACCGGTTTGCATTTCATTGCACCCTTGCATCACGAGTTGTTTCCAGGTCATTTCAATGTGATAATGGGATCGAGATACGGAGTAAGCCTTCACAAACAAGGTGAATCATTTATTCTTCTTTTCAATACGTTCAAATTTATTCAGTTACTTTATTCACTTATCTTCTTCGAGAAGCTCTGTAACGCTGCAATTTATATATAACTTTCAGGCTCCATTGATCAACAATAGACACGATACAAATATATATAAAAAGAAAGAATGATGTGATCATATATGTTCAATCCACTATAACATATGGGAATTCCTCATTCGACCGCTCTTACCCGTACAACCGGTCCTTTATACACCTTCCGCGCGTAAGCGTGGTAGTACGCCATGGCAAAGAGAGTCACGCCACTAAATATGACGATACTCCAGTTCATTGACTGTGCAGTGACATGACGCGTGACTGGGAAGAAACTAAACACGAAAATGACGATTAAGACAAGAATCGAAATGGTGTCGACAACCGGGGTGAATTTGCCCATGCTCCAGCGTGCTGGAGGCAGGGGTTGGTTCCTCCATCGGCGGAGGCGGACGCAGCTAATCGAAATGATGTACGACGAGAGGAGAGCCGCGGTTCCCAAGGACATGATGGCATTGAAGGCTACGGATGAGCCGATGTTGATCAGTGAGAGGAGAGACACGATGATAAGGCTGAGGAATAAGGCGTTGAGTGGAACGGTGAAGGTGGGGTTTATCTGTGATCATTCGGAATGTAAATAACATGAAGTTGTCATCTTATCTGTGTTTCCGTTTTATATTTCTTTTGTTTCTTTACCAGAGAAGGAAATTGAAGGTACGGACCTGACACAGGATACCTGAAAATGGGAGGCCTTGGTCGCGGGCGAAGGCATAGACCTGCCGGGATGTCGTCGCAACGTTGCTGATGGCAGCGCAGAACTGCATGACCATAATTACGAGGGTCATACCAGTTGCGGCTTTCACAGATCCGGTGGAGTTTAAGAAAACTTGGATAAACGGGAAGCCTGTCTGAGACTCCAACACTTCGTCGATGTTTCCCACGCAGAATGCATAAGTTACAATCATGACGAACCCCGTCGCGCCGTTTAGAATAAGGGTCCAGATCATTCCTCGCGGAAGTACGCGAGACGCATCCTGGATTTCTTCGGCTGTTATTTTGTGAGTTTGGTGCCTTATCGCTGGGAGGAAAAGGGTTTCTTACACATGTGAACAGCTGAGTCGGGGCCTTGATGCAATACAACCGCTGGTTAGACAAGCCATTTCCCTCGAGCTTCTGGAGACTTACCAATTAATGCATATATCGGCACAACTAGTCCTACTAAGCACGACAAGCCATTGTTATCCCACCCCCCGCGATCCTCAATGGATCCAAATACTTCGGAGGGTGGTACTGAAGGTGACAAGACCCACAGGGGAATTAGGATGCCAAAGAAACCAAAACAATGGACAACCAGGATAACTCCCTCGATCAAGGGTAGCTTTTGGGCTAGGAATGTATTAAATACCAACGCGACCACTGCTACTGCGATAACTAACAGGGTGACATGCCATGGCTTATACGTATATGAATCGGGGTAGTTGATGGCAATCACACCCACCAACATGTTGGCTACCGTGTATGAACAGCCGGCGATCCCAGTATGCCAGCCTAACACGCACACCCACCCAGTGATGTAGCTCAAGGGCTTTTGACAACTCCGCGGTGCGAACTCCGATACCCAATGATATTGGCCGCCGGACGTGGGTGCCCTAGAGATTATTGTTAGTGATAGACCGGACCTGGTTATGTGACTCAGAAGGGCGATACATCGAAGCCATCTCCGCCATCGAGAGAATCACAAAGCTGAATCCTATCAGACCTCCAAGGTAGGTGTATATCATACCCCCCTTTCCGCCATTTGTCAAGCCATTCGAAGAGCCACTGAGTTAACGTCAGTCATATCTGGACTTTACCCGCTTAATAAACAAGGTGTACTAACAAGAGTACTGCTTCCCAAGTGCACATCAGCACCGCACTGAAACCGAGGACAGATATAAACCGAAAGTTTCGCTATAACCCATTAATAATTTCAGTATATTCAATCCTAAGAATGTATTTGGCAGTTCCGTACATTCAACTCTTGGTCCCTGCCTACACGCCACATGTCCGTCTTATCCTGCACAGTTCCATGTTTATCGGAAAGTCTGTCTTCGGGTGCCGTGGCGTATTTCACTGATCCTACTGCTTTCTCGGTCGGCATTGTCTGTGGGCTATAGTGATTCAGGCAGTACCGAGTTACCTAGGGACGGATGAACGATCGAGATGGTGACGCAGAATCAAATTATTCCAGAATTTGGGCAACAATTGCATACCGTGCTCCGGATCCGTACGTCTTTAGGGAATTTTCTACATTGACCTAGACAGGGATTATCATTCCGACAGTTACGTTACTCGAGGGTCCACCGTCAAGACAGGCATATTAATCCTGGTAAACAGCCGATATCCCTGCAAAGTATGACTTATAGCCCGATGTAACATTGGACAACTCGGCTAAGGGAGCCAGGCCAAGAATTAACACCTCGGGAAACCACCTTCCTGTCCAAAGGGCATATTTGACTGGCAACACTGTTTATACGTTAACCGTCAGTGGATAACCCTTGATCCACCTCTATTTTCAGTCTATTAAGCGGCATGTATATTGGGTTATATTGTAACCTCTACACCCTGAATGGCGGGGATCTGAAATTGTATTTATTTTCGATCGGAAAGAGGGAGAGATGCCTCTAGCGCACTTGTCCTCCGCAAATGTTGACTCTGGTCTCTTTTTCTTTGGAGAATGAGTGAGATAAACCATGGGAGGGCCCTATGCGATAACGCCAACAGACCATAGAGGATTAATTGTGATCACTGCAACACTGTTCATGTCAGGGATGTTTACAGTGTGTCTATTCCGGCTTTACGTGAGACTTGCCATGAACGGTCCCTTCGGGGCGGATGACCTGGCAGCATTTGCGGGTCGCATAATGTACCATGCCATTCTCAAGGTATAGCGGAACTCAATATGGTAATTCCAGGCTCGGCACAATCTCAAGATAGTCAAAGCTTGTGCCAGTTTATAATCCACAGGGAGGAAGAATGGATTTCAGAGATAGAACTTATCGATATAGACAGGCTAAGCGTGCAACATAGGGACTGACATACTAGCATGCAAGATGTTTATGCTGGAATGTCTACACAGCATCTGAAAGGCACTATGCAGGGGAATAAGTACATGAAAAGTAACCCGCCAACGACAATACATCTAACCTGATCCTACAGGAGGCAAGGACCATTGTTCTCTCAGTTTGCCCTCCTCGGCTCTCTGAGCATGGGATTAGCTCCTTCAGGAGTATCGTCAAGGCCTTCCAGCAGTTCGAATCCAAATTTTCGATACAGCCCAACTCCCTCATTACTGGAGGCTATGTAGATTGCGGCCCCGTTGCGGTCAGCTAGATCACATCCCCATTGCACCAACAGGGAAGCGGCACCTTGCCGTTGATATTCAGGATTGGTTGCCAGCATATCTAGGTCTATAGCGTGGTTAAAACAAACGTACGCCAGTCAGAGGGGGATCATGTACAGTAGTGCTTGCGTCCTTGCATCAAGTTCCTGTGCTGATTTACAATACCCCCGAAATATTGGTTGCAGAGCTCGGCATTTGACTCCGGATGCCATGGCGGATATCGTTCGCCACACTTATCCGGCTGCAGGTCCCATTTCCCGTATGCGATGATTTCGCCGGGGCGAGCGGCATCGACTACCTTCAAATACTTCTGGTATGGTTTGTTCACGAGGTCATAGTAATTGGCTTCATTCCACCACGTGCGCACGGCGGGGGTGTCGGGGAATAACTCCAGGTTGTGTGGCGTACCGAATGCGCGGAACCAGACTTCAGTGATCTTGGGGATGTCGTCTGGAGTAACTTCACAAAGTTCGAGAGTCGATCGATTCGCCATTTTCTCGAAATTAACTGTTGTCCTCAGAGATAGAGAAACTGACATAACAGTTACACAGGCCAAATACTTATACTGGTACGCTCGTGCAACCCTCATATCGTTTTCCCCAACCATTCGCACAGACAGCAAGGAATCCCCGGCGGATCCACGGATGGGCTGTACCCTTTTCCGTTCCACCCATTGTCTTGACTCCAAAGTCAATGATGTCAGGAACATTGATTTTAAGTTGCAACCCGGGCATGTGGAGACTCTGAAACCATACGCAATTTGTGGATGATTCTGCCGAGAGGTCGAGACCAGGCGAGGCAACCGGTATGCTTCCTGGCTTTCATTTCAGACTGTCTTCATCGTGTACAGTCTCGAGTGGAAAGGCAAGCTTAATGGCAAGTTGGTTCGTTATGTGAAGTACTTCCTAAATGTCCAAGCGGTGTGGCTATAACTCCTTTGTTGGGACCAATTACTTTTATCTTCAGTTCGTATAGGCTCGCATATGTGGCGTTCAATAGTTCAGTATAGCAAATCCCGGTAACCTTTTCATGGATTTCATAATTTGCCTCCGTTTAACCGTTCTACAGTTTGTGTATATATATCTTTTTTTTTTTTTTTTTTGGAAAGAGAATATTGCCCTACAGGAAGACCATGGGATGACACTTGACGCAGAAAGCACCCCTTAAAACCCTAAAAGAACAGAGTGGACAGAGCCCCTTTAGTTCTACATAGTCAGGGTCCACAATTTGCGTGGAAGGGGTAAACCAAGATTTAAATACCAAGACTAAGCTTTAATAAGCCTTAATTTGTGGGGTCTGAAGTAGATATATAGTAAGTTTAGTGGAGTCGAAGCCTCGATTAACCTCATATCAAGAACTAGAGAGGCAAGAGACTATCTAAATATACTGGTTTGAGTAGGAGACTATAATGGCCGGGGGAACATGAGATGTAACGCGCTGATTACCATATATTTGACTACACATGCTTAATGGGTGATACTAATACCCTGGTAATAATTTGCCCTGGGTTTGTTCTGATGTTGATAGGCTTATTAGTCTTAAATCATATATCCTACAGCCACGCCATGATTGCCCTTGTTTAGAGGATCCCTACGGTGGACTAACGAGCTTCCAGACAATCTACTATTTAATAAAAAAAAAAGTTGAATATCAGTATTTACTTACTATAACTATTAATAGATTTATTAACTAAAAGTTCTACAGGTAGAAATCCTTCCTCGGCAAGGGATGGACGTCGCCAGCCAGTGTGTACGCAGATCTACCACTACAACAGTGGTCTTAGTAGACGAATTCTTTCGCAGACTGATAGATAAGCTTTTGGTCTCGCTATGCCTCAAGAGCCAGTGGCGCAGTGAGACAAAGTACGAAAATGACTGATAGACTTCCGATTGGTGGCCGATTATTCAAACGATCACGCGAACGCACAAGCCCGAGATAAATGATACTTGTTTGAGGCAACCTGGATGAAGCGCTTATCATTGTAGTTGAGAGAGTATTTTTAAAGGTCATGTGGACTTTGGGTCAGATTTGTAAAGTTTTCTCTTTCGTGAAACTAATATCCACCACTGTTGAGAAGGTCCCTAAAGATGCTATCTTTCCGATTACTCAGAACCAGGGGCTCATCTATCTCTACTACCTTTCCCCGGTCTAGGCCGACGATCAGATCATATGCCAATAGACTGTGGACACGATGTGCAACCGTAAGGACGGTGCATGAACGAAAGGGATCCTGTCGTAGAAGGTCTTGCACACGAGCGTCGGTTTCCATGTCTACGCTGCTGGTGCCTTCATCTATCAACAAGATCCTAGAGTTCCTTGCTTGTATTTTCAGCATTGCACGAGCAAATTGTAGCAGTTGTTGCTCGCCTCGAGATAGCGATAGAGTGTCGGTTATTTCGGCATCTAATCCCCCTCTTTCGAGTAGTACACCATCCCAGAGTCCAACTCGGACGAGCGCCGTGATGATATCTGTGTCCGGGAGGCTTTCTGTGGGATCTAGATTGAACCTGACGGTACAGCCAACCATGATGAGTGGTGTTTGAGAAATGGTGACAAGCCTTTCGCGGACTATATCGGGGGGAAGCGTAGCAAGGTCAATATCGTCGATAATAATTGAGCCATGGGTCACGGTGAGCATGCCCAATAACGTCAATAGTAAAGAGCTCTTTCCACTAGTTTATTACGCGGGGGGACAAGTGAGCCAGGACTGGTAATGTCTAACACTTAAATAGGGCTCCCAGGAAGATGATACTTACCTCCCAGTACGTCCGCAGATACCGATTTTCTGACCTGGCAAGCATTTCAAAGAGACATCACTCAGTACTGTTGTTTCAGAACTGTTCGTGTGTTTGTTAGTAATGCGAATCAAAAGTGGCGATGGCTCATATATCTTGTGGAATACATACCTGTACTGCGCAGCCATCCCCGAGACCTCAATACGTCCCCTGCCTGGCCAGTCGACGGGTATCTCTTCTTGCTCGGTTGATATTTCACGTGGCACCGTGAGTTCAAAATCTTTGACCCGTAGAATTGAACCAAGGGATATCTCTAACTGTGTCCAACCCGATGTGAGAGCTGAAAGGCTACCATTGAAAGCTACGTGGTGTTGAGTCAGCTGGAAGTGTAACGATACATGTCATGACATCGAAGGGGCAGCATCAGCAAAGTAAAGTGCCAATAGGGAAGACATACCGAGAATGCTGTTGAGTGATACTCCAAGCAATCCGACACTCGTAGTGTGTCTTAAGGCCACTGCTAAGCTGACGACAATGACCGCTTCGGCAGCGACGACGAGGTCCAAGACTAAGGTGAGCCAGCGCTGAATACAACTGAGCATATAATACGTGCGCTGGGTAACATCCAACAATGTTGAATTGGCCATTCGAAAGTCTATCTCCCAGCCGAATGCTTGTATTGTAGCGAGGCCCTCGACCGTATCAAGAAGATGGGAGTACAACGGACTTCTGCTTTCCAGGTCCAGTAATCGAAGTTGTCGTGATGTCTTCAGATAGAAATGCTGTAAGAAAAACACAACGATGATCAGGAAAGGCACAGATACCGCCATGTACTTCGATCCTGTCGCAATAAGTGCAGCACTGGCAATTGACGAAAAGAGATCTGGATTCATTAGCAATGATATCGATAATTGTCCGATAGTGATCAGAAAGTCTTTCCAGGGGTTGGATGGAATGGTAAGGGTCTTACTTGAGACCGTAATTAAGATGCCAATAGGCAGATCGCTTTCGATCAGGGTCATA